AAAAACTATAATTATAATTATTTTTCATATTTTTTTCTATTTTAAAAAATCTATTAAAACATAAATTTATCAATTTCCTCGATCTTAAAAAATAACATATGCAAAAAATGAATTAGATAGTTTTAAAATATTTAACATTAAAATGAAGCGATAATGGTGTTGAGTGATGATGACACGATGATGACTTTTTTTCCCTTTCACTTTAATCATTCTCCCTTAGAATCGTAAATCTGAAATATTATGAAAATAAGTTTCCTTTTTTTATTGTTGGAATCATGAATTAAAAATATAAAACAAAGTTTTTATGTTTATCGTAAAAAAAATATTTTAAATAACCGCAAAAAGTAAAACCTATTGTTTTATACTTGAAAGGTAAGAGTTAGTCTTGAGATGAAAATTACAAATGCATAGGATCGAAAATCATAATTTAAAAGCTATAGGGATGAAATTTGTAACTTTTAGTAAACCAAAGGGACGAAAAATATAATTACTATCTTATAAAATAAGATACAATTGATTTTAAGATAAAAAAGAACTAGGAGAAAAGCAATTGACACAAAAATATGAACTATGTTAACAACTGTTGAGTATTTATAATTGTTATTATATTAATATTAGAAAGGTATTCGTGCAATGTAGCGAGATAAATCTCGATTTCAATGTTTAGTGTTTATTCTTTATCTTTATCGAAATAATACAATTTTATGTGGTTTTGAAAAAATGATAATGTTTTATTTTTAAATGAAATATAAATTTGAAGATAACATAAAATTTTGAAGAAAAAAATTGATATTAGTATCAAATTAACTATTTAATAGTTCTTGTTTTTTGATGTAATTTCTTTAATTCAATTTTTTATTATAATTTAATTTAGATTTAATAACAAAACAACTTATTTTTGGTTTAACAATATAATTTTTTATAATAATAATATTAAACATTATGTTAGAACTCAATGATGATCTTAATTATATTTTAGATTTTCTATATTTAAAATGGATGTTTATCCAGTATTTGATTATGTTTATCTGCAGTTGGTTATACGAATTTAAAAATGAACTTTTAATAAGTTATACTTACGCAAAATTACTTGTAATTTTGAATTTTAAGTAATATGTAACAATAAACAGTACTTTATGTATAAAATGGTTTTTAAGAATTTTTGTCAAATACTTTATAATATAATATAAATAATTAATATGGTTAATAGAAAATAGGTAGTAGCTTTAGGTGGATTGTTTCACTATAAAAAGGAAATACAAATTTGTTGTATCTACTTTTTGTTAGTAAAATTCACCTCCCATTCTAAAAGAAACATCATTCATTTATTAAAGAATTTGGTTACATCATATCATCATTCATAAATGAGAGGACCCTTTGGTCAAATAATGAAGGATTCAAGTCTTATCCAAATTCAACAAATATTGACTAATGGGAAATTGACTAAAATACCTACATATTCGTTTTACAATTATTTTTTGTATTTGTTTGACGGGTTTTGCTTGAAATTACGTAAGTGACATTATGTAACTTGCATAATCTATTTTTTGGATTAAAATAATAAGAAAAAAATAGGTATTACGTAAGTTACGTAAATGAATATAGAAAGGGTTCATGTTGGCATTTTGCACGTAGCATTTCAGCAACTTATGTAACATCCGTTTTGCTTAGTATCTTAATATGAAAAATGTGGTGCGCATTTAGTTTGAGCTTGGGCTCCAAAGGTCAAAAGTGTCAGGAGGTCCCAAGTTCAAATCCAAGAAGAAATAAAAATCTTCTTATGGCCACGAAGGTTCAAATGCGTTGACTCCAGGTTATCCGTAAAGCAAGTGGTCGTCCTGGTATTAGTTGGCTCGCATAACGGGTTTGATATTTAGGTTAATAAAAAAAAATAATCTGAAAAATGTAATACGTAAATCGAGTAAGGGGCTGTTTACCAAACGCTTACCCAGTAAGCGTAAACCGATAAAATCTAACACCATCAATTACTTACCAAGTAAAATTTTAATCCACCAAAACAATATCGTATACAACAATTCACTTGGTAAGCGCTTACTATGGTAAAAGTCGTCCCCCTCACTTACCGGGTAAGACTCTTGGTCTTTGTCTCGTTCTTATTGAGTAAGATTCTTGGTCCTGGTAAGGAGACTTGATGTTCACTTACCACAGTAAGCGTTTGGTAAACGGCCTATAATACTACTTAATGTAAATTTTTGATTAAATCCGTTAATAATTTCAAAAGATGACCATAAAGTAAATTAGAAATTACTATTTTTAATGAATTATTCCTTTGAATAATTCATAGTTGATAATTTGACTTTTATTTAATACCTTAAAAACGTCATCGTTTTCTTATTTATATATTTTTTGTGCCTGGCATGGCCCATTGTAAAGTTGAGTGTTACTTGTGAAAACAAAAAAAGATTCATTTATTTATCTACGTTGCTTTATTTGGTGATATGTCGTATGATTCATTAAGCATTAATGAAAATGGCAGATCTTTTGCGGTAAAAGACGAGATATTTTGCTTGTTCGAAGGAGCACTCGATAACTTGGGTAGCCTAAAGCAACAATACGGGCTTTCCAAGTCGGCCAATGAGGTCATTTTGGTCATTGAGGCTTATAAGGCTCTCCGTGATCGTGCACCTTATCCTCCAAATCATGTCGTGGGCCACCTTAACGGGAATTTCGCGTTTGTTGTCTTTGACAAGTCGACCTCCACTTTGTTTGTCGCCACCGTAAGTCAAATTCCCCACCTAATTTTACTTGACTAATTAATTAGATGTATTTATGTTGTGGGATAGATGATTTTACTCTAAACCATGATAGAAAATTAATGCAATTAACCGTTAAAAAACAAAAAACAAAATTCCAAATTTATGTTTGGTAATTGTTCAAAATGAAATTATGGTACTGAATGGTTCAGGGAGACCTAAGATATTTTATTCATAATGTTTTAAAATCTTTAAGAAACAGATTTTTTTTTATTTCTGCAAACAAGATTCAACTTTTAACAATTCAGATGTTTTCTCTTAATGAATCTATTAATAATAAAATAATTATCGTATCTGGATGTTGATTTGTTTGGTAATGATAATGATAGGATCAATGTGGTAAGGTTCCTTTGTATTGGGGAATCACAGCCGATGGGTGCGTTGCATTTGCCAACGATGCTGATCTGCTGAAAGGTGCCTGTGGCAAATCACTTGCTTCTTTCCCTCAAGGTATGGCCCCTTCTATTTTTCTCTAAGTCAAATAATGACAAGTTGACACCGTAGCAAAATTGGGTTTATAAAACGTTAAAATTATCTAACTGTTCCAATTGACTGTTTTATAAGACTAAATGATAAAGTGTGTTATCTGAAAGTGTTGTAATAGGTTGTTTACATGACGTTTTAACAAGTTTCATAGAACGTTTTTAAAAAATAAATTATTGTATTAGTTATCATATACGACACTATCTGAAAAAGTGTCGTATGAACCGCAAGTGTCCTATAAAAAATACGACACTTTATTTTAAAACATATTAAAAAAACTTGTTAAAACGTCCAAAAAAACGTCCTACAAACCTATTGTAACACTTTTATTCTTCTAGTTATATATACGTTTTAAGCGTCCTGTAAACCCAATTTTATTGTAGTAACTGAATAGAAACACTGTATGAGATATACTGAGTTTGTTTAGAATCAGTTTTAAATCCCTGTATTCAAGCTTTTTGATTCATCCCGCAATGGTATATGCAGGATGCTTCTTCTCCACTGCGGTTGGAGGGCTCAGATGCTACGAAAATCCCAAGAATAAAATCACAGCCGTTCCTGCAACTGAGGAAGAGATATGGGGGGCAAAATTCATGGTGCGTAACCACTTATCTATATCTATATCTATATATATATATGTATGTATATATATGTATGTATATATATATATATATATTCGTTATCTTGGTTATTTCTGTGTGGTCCCGAATATAAAACTGGATCATTTTAAATGGCTTAGGTATATGTTACTATCAAATGTGGAGCAGAATATGACATGTTGGATGATATATGCTTTAAATTTGAGCCATATTTTATCACAGATTCTGACACTAAATGATATTTCTCTCAGGTGGAAGGGCCATCTATCATCACAGCCACAGAGTAAACATCCACAATCTTAATGTGATGTTGGGTGTGGAACCATAAATAGATTTTGATTTTTAGAGTTGCTTTTGTTTGTATGTTGTACAGAGACATGTTGGTTGGTTGTGTAATAAAGGTTGGGTAAACATGTATGTATAATATGGGTATGTTGTCAATGTGTGTGTGTATGTGGGGTTTTTGGTGTTATTGCAAGGTCTGAATTGGAATTTAAGTTGTTGTACCTTTTTATAATTCCACATTTGAGAATTATGGCGGATCTAAAATTGTTGCTGAGCGTTTGCATGCATATTTGAGGTGGATCAAAGACCTGTAATGTTCTTTGCAGATGTATTTTTAGTTGAATTTCACTGTTTTGAGGGATTTTTAAGGTTTGTTTAGTTGATTTTGACGTACATTTTTGGCAGATCTAGAAACTTAACTGACCGGGGTTGAGACTTAAGATACTCATGGAGATTTTATGAAACCGAATAATCCATCTAAACCAAAATAGTTTTGGGTTATTTGGTTTTCAGATGAAACAGTTCGGTTTGAGTTATTATTTTACATTCCGCTTGAATCGAATAACAAATTATACCATGATTTTATATTTTTTTTACTTCTACATAACTGATTTGAGGGCTTTTGAGCATATAAAACAATGGGTTGGGTTCTGGTCAGAAGGAGAGTTCAGGTGAGAAGTATAAGAAGAGATCTCCACTCTTGGACGCACATTAGGATTAGATGCTTCGGGATGAAATGCACTGAATAAATCACCATATCAAGCACAATTTATGGGTGGGTTTGAGATTAAAGGTGATCAAGGGTCCACGCCCCTTCTTATACTTCGCACTTGGGCTGCACATGGATTGGGTTGACCGGGTTGAAGACATTTGAACAACCTAACCTAATGTTTGTGGCTTGAAAAATATCAGTATATCACCCAACCCAACCCAAACCAAACCATGCAAGTTGGGTTGGGTTGGCCGGGTTGAAATTTTGATACTTTATTTTACAATCTAGGCAAGTATTTCTGTTTAAACGAAGTAACGTCAAAATGATAACATACAAAAAAGGGTAACAAACTCAAAAAAAGTTGAAGGCTCGTGCAAATAAGAAAGTAAACTTATGATAGAAATTGTAATACAATTTTCAATATAGCTAATTACGATTGGTCTAATGTCTATTGTACATATGTTAATCAACGATTTCATAATCATATTAAATTCATAGTATAGGAAGGTATTGGGTTCATGGGGTTGGGATGGATTAAAATGACCGTAACCCAAATCCAACCCAATAGGATACAGTTTGACCTAATTTTGTATCAATTATGTGTCGGTTTACCTCAGGTTGAGTTGGCCGGTTTGATCGGTATTTTGAGCACCCTACTTCTCACACCATCCTTCGCCATAAAACAATTAACATTATAACATATGATAAGCTGGTTTATATTAAAACTAAAATAACAATATATTAAGATGGATTTAATAAGACAATACACTTGAACTAGCTATGGTGATGTCTAATATAGAAATTAATTTAAAAAAAACAGTACACTCAATATTGAGATATTTTATTTCTTTTGCTTTTTTGGGAAAGAAAAATCAAATATGCGGGATTTTATAAAAAATGAATGGGTTTATTTAAGAATGGAACCAAGTCATTTATAAAGGGTAATTTTTTTTAAGGTAAATCGAGATTTTTTAAAGTTTTGATTAGGGTCAAGATATCCTATTACTTTGTATGTGGCCTTGTCATTCCCGTATTGTTAGGGATAATTATAGGACCAGAAAAAAGGTTGAACGATCAAGAACCGGATTATTTGAGAATCGTGTAAAGAGCATTTTCTGAATTGATATTTCGACCTTATGTCTGGTTTACACGAAATTCAATATAGGATAAGACTCAAGAAAGCACTTTCGTTTTTAGGCACAAAAATGAGAGCAAACTAGCTGGAGTGTATATTAAGATTGTTCAAAAACCCGTGTCTAAAACATAAGCATAAAAGATATTTATGCTCATAAAAAAATAACTGAAAAGATAATCATGGCTCAATTTTAGTAGTAGTGGACAATTATAAAACTGCACATTAAAAGTAGTGGTCAGTTACAAAAAACTGCTCATTAATGGTAGTGGAAAGTTATAAAACTATCTTAACCATTCTAGACATGAAGCCAGAGACAAGAACTAAAGCCCATCTGGTCTTACCAACCAGATACAAGTCTTAGCAATAATAAGCAGAACCAAAACCCTCCTGGTCTTACCAACTAGAGGCAAGTCTTAACAATCATAAGTAAGAAACCAGAGCCTCTGGTCCTTAACACCCAGAGACAAGGAACCAGAGCCTCTGGACCTTAACAACTAGACTCGAGGCCATCGTTAGCAACCAGAGGCAAGGACGACCATAGCCCCTCTGGTTCTGATGATTGTTTTTCCACCACAATGCAAGGGTTGCAACCCCTTAACTCCCAATATGGCCATACTCGTCTTATAACAAGTGTGCACTCCACCGCACCTCTTTATTTGTATTAGAACACAGTATAAATCCCTCTTAGAACTCGATGTTATTTCCAATTACACTTAAATGAACTGGTGACTCTAAAATCAGCAACAATCCTCCCTCATTTTAATGTTAACCCATTAAATAACACTTTAAAATGAACAAACCAAACTTGCACATAAATTAAAATATTGAATCGATTGAATTTCCATGTTAGTATTTTACACATTTCAAATATTCGGGAATCAAGATGTCCTAAGGATTGAACCCATCAACCCATTTGAATACCTGAAGATAAAATATATACAAGCTTGGATTGTCAGTATATCACGTGCGATGTACGTCAAAATCGGGAATTGAGGTTGTTTTTGTTTCCAAAAATCTAATATATCAATTTTTTTCAAAATCTTCGACATCATTTGCGGGGCATACGACCATAAAGTTAGTATGCACATACATATTTAGTTCACACAAATCATTATCATATCGACTTTTTTACTTGATTCATTTAAAACCTCGTTCATTAAATTAGTCATCAACTCTTTACGATTTTGTCGATGACCACTAGAAGAAGAACTAGAACCTGCAAACCCACGACTTGAAGAGCTTTGTTGTTGGTTTTCTCCTCCGTAAAAATGTTTGTAATAATCAAATAAATCTTGAAAATTACGATTTAACAAACGTTTTTGTTCCATTGAAAAAGAATTATCCGTAGCGGTATCAAAACCAAAAGCCACACATATATGTGTAATTAAAATTTCAACACCGACAATATTTAAATACGGGTTTAACATCGCAGTACAAAGAAAAGCAAACGAGATGCTTATAAAATATTTTAACAATTTCTTTGCGGATAATGGTGTCTATAAAAAGCAAAAATATAAATTTTTTTGTTTTATCAAATTTTCAATCATAAAATAAGCCGAATTCCAACGAACGGGCATATCGAATCTCGGTTCCAAAGCTCTAAAACCAACGTCCTAGCAATACTTTCTATATTACGCATTCATTTTTTTACCTTTTGTGAAAATTCGCAGCAACATATGTCTAACCTTATCTATTACGGGTTTACAAGTTTTTAAATCGTCTTGAACAACTAAATTTATTATGTGTGCACAACAACATGTATGAAATAATTTATAATCTAATATAGGTGTCAAATGACACTTAAATTTTTCCACAAAAGTATTGTTATTACTAGCGTTACCAAATGAAATACTAATTATTTTAGCAGTTACATTATAAAATGCAAGACATTTTTTAATAAATGAAAATTGACGTGCACCCTAATGTAGCACACCAAATGATTTAAACGTGATTACACGTTGAATAAATGTCATATTGTAGGCTCAACCCAATGTGTCGTTATGCATATATACGAAACCGGCAATCTGTATGGTGCGCTCCATACTGTTAACAAGAGGTGATTGGTTGGGGAACATTTGTAGTATTCTGTGTAAAAGTTATTACAAAGAAGAAGACAACCACTATAAATACAAATTTACAATGATCTAAATATGGAAAACAACTATGAATGGCTGTCAATTAGAGGGAAATGGAAACTGGATATTTTCCTCTCCTAGATTAATGGGGAAATGATGCTAAGCCACCAATCTTGTAGATCCCATAAAATTATTTTCCAACCTTCCTTTTAACACTCCCCCTCAAGTTGAATAKTGGGATTTCCAAAATTCAACTTGCCCAGACACTCGTGCAAGGTTCTTTTATTAACAGCTTTTGTCAACATATCGGCAAGTTGGTCTTCTGATCGAACAAACGGAAGTGTGATGATCTCTGCTTCCAATTTTTCTTTGATGAAGTGTCGATCAACTTCTATATGCTTTGTTCGATCATGTTGTACTGGATTTTTTGAAATATGAATGGCTGCCTCATTATCACTCATAATTTTGCTAGTTTCTTGTGGTGGATATCCTATCTCGGTTAGGAGCCTTCGTACCCATAGCACTTCAGTTATCCCCCTTGTAATTCCCCGAAACTTAGCTTCTGCACTTGAAAGGGCCACCACCGTTTGTTTCTTGCTTCTCCACGTAACGAGATTTCCACCAACTAAGGTAAAGTATCCCGCGGTGGATCTTCGGTTGCCTTTATCCCCTGCTCAATCTGCATCAGTATACAGTTGAGTTTCAAGATGCCTGTCTGGTTTGAACAAGACTCCATACCATGTCATTCCCTTGAGATATCTTCTAATTCTTAAGACTACTTCCATGTGAGCCTTTTGGGTTGATGCATAAACTGACTTACCAATTCTACAACATATGCTATGTCGGGTCGGGTGTGTGAGAGATATATTAATTTTCCTACCATTCGTTGGTATCTCCTTTGTCGACAAGGTCTGTTTTTTCTCCATATAAAGCTTTTGATTCACAATCATCGGAGTGTCTGCTGGTTTGCAATCAACCATATCGGTTCCGGCTAGTAAATCAAGGACATACTTCTTTTGCTGCATGAAGATCCCCTGTTCTGATCTTAGAATTTCAATCCCAAGGAAATATTTGAGTCTCCCTAGATCTTTCATTTCAAATTTTGTGAACAAGTTCTTCCTTAGTTTGATTATTTCTTCTTTGTCATCTCCTGTAATAATCATATCATCGACATAGATTATTAGGCAGGTTATGAGATTGCCTCTCCRTTTACGAAACAAAGTATGATCTGAGTTACTTTGTTTAAACTCGTAGTTTTTCATGGCTAAGGTGAACTTCCCAAACCATGTTCTAGGGGACTGTTTTAACCCATAGAGAGATTTTTTCAGGAGGCACACTTCTC